GAGGATGAGGTGTGCGTTCTGATGCTGGACCTTGAAAAAGCATACAATCCGGTTAACGGGGCCTTTGTCATAACCACGTTCCGTAAATCGACCTTCAGTACCTCCTCCTGCAACTGGATGAAGGTACTCTAATGTCACTCGACAGCAGCAGTAGTGGGCAACTGCAAACTCCTGATGAATTTGCATCGTCCAGATCCCATCAGCAAGGGTGTCCGCTGGCACCTCTTCTTTTTGTTCTTGAAATGGAGATTCCAAACTTACCAGTATCTGCATACATCCTCACATCAGCTGCCTTCAGTGAAGTGCACGCTCTGCAAGCGCCTTAGGCAGTGGAGCCAAATTCAACTACAATGGAATGGGTCCTACAATGGATCGTGCAAAGTCCTCCTGCTGTTCATACTTTTGCCGGTTATGAATGCAGAATGCAAGGTGAAAGCATCGGTGTATGACCTGCTTGCATTTGTCAAGGAATTGAGAAGAGTCACTGGGTGCCTTGAAAGACTGCCTGGTAGAGTATGCTGAGTTCTATGAGGTGAAAGCATTGGCATATGATCTGTTTCTGTTTGTCAAGGAATTGAGAATAGTCACTGGGTGCCTTGAAAGAGCGCCTGGTAGAGTATGCCCAGTTTTCTGAGGTTGCGGTAAATTGGGGTAAGTCTGTTGTCTTTCTCCACAGCAGTACATGCTCAAGGTAAGAAAACGCCTCCGTAGCAGGTCGTTTCTTATGGTTGCGCAGGGAAATCCGCCTTGGCAAATAGAGGCTCAAGAGATATTGGTGGTTTAAACCACCATGAAAGGATTTCGCATTGCAGACACCCAAGTCCCAGTTCCAGGGTCCCAAATTGTACCAGTCCCAGTTGGGTGCAGTCCCAGATGGTCCCAGCCCCACCTGTCCCAGTAGGTGAGTCCCAGGTAGGGTCGTAGGGTCCTTCCATCCATAGAAGGCCGAAACATACCGTACAGGCAGACCGGTAAAAGTCCAACCGGTACCTGACAAGAGAAGTCCAGCCAAAAGTCCAATTTTGCAGCAGTGTCCCAGGAAAAGTCCAAAAGGTACACGGCCACCAAAATTCATGCAGCAGACCGGCCGCGGGCGACCGGTACCAGTCAGAAACAAACCAAGGCCAAGTCAAGCTACTATCAAACCACCCCTCTACCCGCCTTTAGAAAGTCGGGGGAGCGGTAGCCCATTCTTTCAAACAGGCACGTGGCCTACCCGTAGGTCAGTGTGGGGCATGGCCTTGGTCCTGGAGTGGCAAAAAATGGAAACATCCTGAATCGGCGCGGCAATCATTTGACGGGCAAATGATTTTTTTTTTCCCTGATATTTTTCCAGGGGAGATCAGGACCCAATCTATGGACCCTCAAATTTTTAGAATTTTCTGTGAATTCTTCTGAGCACGAAAAATCAAAGTTGCCGAACTTCTTCTGTTCGCCAACACATGGTAGAGTGGCAAAATGGAAATGCACCTAATCGGCGTGGCAATTACTTCACGGGCAAAGATCACGACCTAATCTATGGACCCTCGAATTTTTAGAATTTTCTGTGAATTCTTCTGAGCACAAAAGATCTCCAAAGTTGCCGCTCTGGAATTGCAGGACTGGGCCCGACGGTTGGCAACAGTCTCCGCCCTCCCAAAAAAAACGCCCCAACTCACAGGGAGGGCACTTTCCAGGAGGCGGGTAGAGGGGTGGTTTAATAGCTGCGACAGTGCAGCTCACATCATCTTTGTCCTGCGTGAGATGCCGAAGCGCTGCTGGTTGCTCGTGCGGCCTCGCGGCTTGGACTGTGCACCAAAGGGCCTGCTGGGCGGCGCACCAGTTAGGGTTGTTGAAGGAGAAGGTGGCCACAGTGGCCATTGCTGAAGTTGCGGTTGAAGAAGAACGGATGTATCCAGGGGTTATGATCCAAGTAGTAGCAGATAGGAAGCGGGAGAGAAATGAGAGAGAGAGAGAGAGAGAGAGAGAGAGTCAGCGCTCATCGGTGCAATCAACAACAGTAACCAGCGGTCATCAGCACATGTAACAACAATCGTCAACCAGGTATGTAACCAAGTATCCCCCCTTGTGACTCGGTCTCTCTCTTCCGCTGAACCGCTCAGATGCATTGCAACCACTACCTTTGCCAGGCAAAGCCGAGAATCAAAAATGCAACATTCCAAGGACTTCGGATGACCAGTGCCACTGGACCAAAATGGCTGGTGCCAGCGGCCAAAAGAAAAGAAATGAAAAGAAATGAAAAGAAATGAAAAGAAAAGAAAAGAAAAGAAAGAGAAAAGAAGAGAAAAAAGAAACGCTGCCGTGGCGATTCATTTGTTTTTGCCACCCAGGGCGAAAAAGAGGCTCGTACAACAACAGATGGTTAACGGTGGGACGAAATTCGCTGATTTCGCAGCATCACCACAAGCATCATAGTGGTGAAACGGTATTCACCAATTCGTGGTAGCTGAGGTAGATCCCAGGGCTCGATCCCTAGTTCCCCAACTTACCTGTGTACAATACCTGCGTCAACTCGAAGAGTTGAACCTGCGACCTGTAGAACCGCCAGTGGTAGGTAGGTCTGTCGTAGGTCTATAGGAAGCCAGGATTCGATCCGTAGAGACTAGAAGGCTAGCTGCAGTCCTTCTAGAAGGTTGGCAAGTGGTCAAGTGGTGCAGGCAAGTGGTCAAGTGGTGCAGGCAAGTGGTCAAGTGGTGCAGGCAAGTGGGCAAGTGGTGTGACTAAAGCAAGC